GAAGGAAGGAAGGAAGGAAGGAAGGAAGGAAGGAAGGAAGGAAGGAAGGAAGGAAGGAAGGAGAGGAGAGGAGAGGAAGGGAGGGAGGGAGGGAGGAAGGAAGGAAGGGAGGGAAGGAAGGAAGGAAAGAAGGAGAAGAAGGAAGGAAGGAAGGAAGGAAGGAAGGACGGACAGGGAGGAAGGAAGGACAGGGAGGAAGGAAGGAAGGAAGGAAGGAGAAAAAGGAAGGAAGGAAGGAAGGAAGGAAGGAAGGAAGGAAGGAAGGAAGGAAGGAAGGAAGGAAGGAAGGAGAGGAAGGAAGGAAGGAAGGGAGGGAGGGAGGGGAATGGAGAATGCTGGCTGGGGAGTCCCAGGAGCAGACGTCGGGGTGGCGGCTACACTGGAAGAGGCAGGACGTGGGAGAGAGGGGCTGGTGCCTGTCCTCTTACCTTGACTTCTTCAGGTGCTCCTCATCCGGGTCTTGCACTGAGAGGACACAGGCGGGCATTGGCCAAGAGAAACAGAGGGTCAGGCCTGGCTAGGGCCAGGAGAGCCCGCCCTGCCCCGGGCCAGCACTTACTGGACTCGGTGCCCGTGAGGTGGGCGAGGATGCGGAAGGAGCGGGACTGGCCCGTCCCGGGCCGCGGCCGCCAGTCCTCGGTGTCCTCCATCAGCCGCTGCTTGCTGGCATCCGGGGCCAGCGGCCGGAGAGGCTGTCTGCGGGGAGGGTGTGGCTCAGAGCCTGCGGCCAGGTGCGGCAGCCCCTCCCAGGACCTGGTGCGGGTGGGCCACGGTGCAGGCAGGGGTGGGGAGGGGCGAGGCCAGGGCCCACTGCGCGGCGGGGCAGGGGACAAGGGGGCAGGGGAGTGGAGAGGAGGCAGCCAGGGTGGGGAGGGGCCGCCGCCCGCAGCGCAAAAAGGAAGGAAGAGAGGGACAGGCAGAGGGGCTCACTGACTTGGCAGGGGTCTGCACCTGTGAAGTAAACCAGACAGACAGAAGGACAAAGGGACAGACACGGGGAGGAAGAAAGATGGGGAGGGGTCAGAGCAGCCCGGGGTGAGGCGGCACTGACTGTCCCGGGCTCGGCTGGCCTGGCACCGCACCCCAACCCTGGGCCACCGCCGGTCCCTGCCTCGAGCCGCATCCTCGGGAGAGGCCCGGGGCCTGCGGCGCCCACCCCGGCCGCCAGGGGGCGCAGCCGCACGGTCCCGCCGGGCAGGGCGCAGCGCAGGAGCAGCGGCGGGCGGGCGGCGCACAGCAGGTGCAGGGCGCGGCCGGGCAGCGGGGCCACGTACCCATTCTGCTGCGGGGCGCTGTCAGCGGGCAGGGGCGCCCCGAAGGGCCGGGCCGTCTTGTTGAGGGAGGCGCTGGGCGCAAAGGTGTACCGCGGGGGGTCCGCGGCGGGGGCCAGGGCCTGGGCAGAGACAGAGCAGGGGGGCAGGGCGGGCGGGCAGGCGTGGGGGGCTGGGTGGCGGTGGGGCGGCCCCCCAGAGGGCAGGGCAGCTCCAGCCCTGCTCCCACGCAGCTGGCTGGAGGTGAGGGGGACAGGACCACTCGGGTTTCCAGAGGCCCGTTTGGGAGTGCCAGTCTCAGCCCAGCAGGTGGGCACACAGCGCAGGTGGGCGGGCGGGAGGCGGGCGGGCAGACAGGCAGACAGTGCGTGGTACCCGGACCGTGCGGCATCCCCAACTCCGTGTTCCCTGGACCCTCCCCAGCTCCAGCCCCGGCCTCTCCCCTTTTTCCCAGCCAGGGATGGGGGCACCCCCGGCGACCAAGCCCACCCCGCCCACCGCCGGAACGTCCCAGCCTGCCACATACCTTCTGCGCTTTGCTCTGAGCCGGCTGGGCCCTAGGGGAGAAGCGAAAGAAAGCGTGATGGCCGGCCCAGCCCGAAGGGGTCCCCACCCGCAGGCAGGCGGCGCCCACACACCTGCTGAGGCCCAGGCTGAGGCGCTCCCCACAGGCACGGATCTTGTTCTGGGCTTCGATGTGCGTGAGGCCCCCCGCGTTCTCACCGTCGATGCTTAGCACCCAGTCGCCCACAGCCACGCCAGCCTGCGCAGCCTTGCCCCCGGGAGTCAGCTGCGGACAGGTGAAGGGTAAGGAAGGCCCGGACTCGGCAGACCAAACCGAGGCTAAGGGCAGGCGACCCTGCCCTGCCCTAAGCGGCCCCACTTCCAGAGCCACAGAAGTGACCTGGATGGTGGCGCTCACCTGAGCTCCCAGTTCCATCACTGATTTCCTGATCACTGATTTCCTCGCCTCCACGCCCCTCCCCCACGGTCCAGAAAGTGTTAGGACATCAACAAACAGCCACCCTTGGGCTAAAACCCAAGCCCTCCTGCTAGGCTCCTGCCCGCCTCTTGCTTAGGCCAGTCCACCTTCCAAATGTGCCGGTTGGCCCGTGCACACAGCACCATCTTCCTGACACTGCCAGCGGCCCCTTCGCCCCTCCTGCTCCACCACCCTGTCCTGGGGCCACCTGCAGGGACCTGCCAAGACCCTGTCATCTCCAGGTTCCCGGTGAACAGTGCCTGGCTGGGGCCTAAGGTGTCAGCTGGGGCCTCGTAGGCTGTAAATGGGGGTCACCTCCAGGCCCTCAATTGCTCCATCACTCCCAGGGCTCCAGTCCTTCAGGCTCTGAGTTGGGAACTCCTGGTTCCTACAGCACATGGGGGGAAACAGTTGGCTGGGAGGAATGGTCACCACCAGCATTAGCTGAGACCATCAAGGATGACTTCTGGGAAGCAGCGGGCCGTGGCAAAAGAGAATGGGGCGTGCTGCTCACGACAACTTCGAATGCCAGGGGGAGAAACCAGGACTTGGCCTTGAGGGTAGAAGAACTGCTTGCAGTTTTAAGGCCTGGGATAGAGTATTTCCCAGGCCCCAGGCCGGGCGTGGTGGCTCACGCCTGTAATCCTAGCGCTCTGGGAGGCCGAGGCAGGAGGATCACTTGAGGTCAGGAGTTCCGAGCCCAGGACCCTGATAGAGGTGACCCTGACAAACCCCACTGGGCCCAGCCCTGTCAACACAGAGTACCAGCCATCCGGCAAGGGCCCTGGAATGCACTGAGCGGGCTTCTGCGGGGTAGTGAAGGAAATCAAATTTACACTTCGCCGGTGGGGGACTAGGGGCTGCCAGTGGCCCCAGGAGGCTCCTCAGGTGGGCCAGTGCACAGGCTGAGCAGAGACAGGGAGAGGGGCGGTAAGAGGGGACAGAGAGACGTCAGAGGGCACAGCGCTGGGACAAAAAGGGAAAGCTGGCTTTGACGACTTTTCACACTTACATGGGAGGTTAGGAGAGGAAGAGAGCTGGGTGGCCCCTCTTCGCTCACTAAATAATAATAGTGAGAAAAGCAGCTTATGTTACTATCTAGTGAGCACCCAGTATTGCCACATATTGCCACTGAATCCTCCAAACAACCCTGTGGAGGAGTCTGGGATCATACCCATTTTACACTTAGGAAGACACACAGAGAGGTTAAGCAACTTGCCTCAAATTACCCAGCTAGTAAGAGGCAGGGCCAGGATTTGACCCTGACCCTGAGGCTCCAGCACTCTGGACACCTCCGCTGAGCATGCGGACCCAAGTGAGGAGTCGGCCCCACTGGAAAGACTCCCTGATCCCCGGGTTGAGGTGGGGCCTGGATCACCTATCTCACCTTTTAGTTCAATCCAGCCCCTTCTGATGGGCACCGGGAAGTGACGCCCTTGAGGGGAAGTGGCTTACTCAAGGCCACAGTGAGTCAGTAGAAGGGAAACCTGGTCCAGCCACTCCCTACCCACAGGGGCTGGCTCCGGGGAGGTGGGCTGTGGCCGGGGTCTTGAGGTGGGCAGGAGCAGCTGGCTCCTGGAAGGGGTGGGGGTGGGGACCACTTCCTTCCTTGGAGCAGGGAGGCGGGAAGCAGGGAGGGCTAGAGGAGTGGGCAGAAGAGCGGGGGAGGGGGCTGGAGAGAGAAGCAGGGAGCAGGCAAGCCAGGGGCAGGGCGAGGCCAGAGGGCCCAAGGAGGGGAAAAGCCAGGGGGCTGGACACTGCATGGGTGGGGGTGAGTCAGCCTCAGCAGCCCAACCCCCCAGTCCCAGACGTTACCTCATCTCAGGCCCAGGCCCTCAGCCAGCCCTGTCCCTCCCTTTTCCCTCCCTCCTCCATTCCGGGGTCAGAGGAGGGGGCGGGGGCCAACCTAGCTCAGAAGAGACCACCCCACCCACACACCCACCCACCCACCTGGGCCTAGGTCCAACTCCAGGGCTGGGCTCAGCTGGTGGCCCCACCCACATGCTGGGGCTGCTGACAAGGGAGCCTGGGCCCAGAGTGCCCCCAAGAGGCCACAGCTAAAAGTCACTCCCATCAATGAAGAAAGGGACACAGAGGCCAGCCACCCACACCGGCCAGCGCCTTACCAGGGCAAGGGACGTAGGGTAGGTTTTCAGGGTTGACAAGGCTTGAGGATTGCGTAGGGGGACGTGGGTGTGGTAGGGAGACCACTGGCCTTAGCTGTCCTGCTGGCAAGGCAGGTCCAGGACAACCCCACGGGAGGACCCCTGGGAAGAGCAGTGCCTGTTCCCCTGGCCACCAAGCCCAGCCCCACAGACAAACTGCCTTGAGGCCCTCTTAGGCTGGGCAGTGCCTGGACAACCCTCCAGTCCACTGCGGGCTGGGCCTGCTCTGGCTTCCTGCCACAGCTGCCTGCCCACTGGTGCCTGGGTGGGTCACCGGGCAGGCCAGGCGGATGTAGGGGCAGAAAGTCCCCACCCCCGGCTGACCCCCAGGCCACAGAGATACCAGCCAAAGGGCTGGCCTCATTCACTCTGGGTGGGCAGTTTGCTCTGTGTTACACGACTGGACCCTACAGCTGTGGCTGTAGCCTGGTGACCAGCTGAGAGGCCCACGGATGGGGTGCAGGAGTCTAGTCCTAGGCTAGCCCTTTTAGGCTCCAGACTCTAGCCCCTGCTGGCTATCCCAGCATGGGGCTGCATTCTTGGGCTTATAAGGCAATCCCCCTGCCATAGGGAGGAGCCAGCCCCCAGCTCCGCCCACCAGCACAGGCTCTCAGGAGTTGAAGTCAGGGTCCCAGAGCTGAGCCCTCTCCCACACTTCTGCTTAGGGTCAAAGGCCGCTGCATCCTGAATGTGGGTCAGGCTGGGGAGAGACCTCCTGTTCCTACCCACAAAAAGTGCATGCCATCCCGTGCCTCAATTTAAATCCCACTGCAGGAGCCCCTCCACCTCTCCAAGTTCCCTCACCTGGAGAAACAGGATGAGGACTGCTATTCCCTGGGTGGCAGTGAGGTTGAAGCTAGATCCCATGTCACAGTGCCCTGCCTGGAGCCTGGCTCCAACCATTGCTCTCTCAAGCTCAGACACTTCCTGGAGACCTCAGCTTCCCATCATGGCAAATGGGCCTCCCCCCCGCCCTCAGGGGCAGCCACGGGAGCTTGGTGCAATGGCAGCGGGTACAGTGCAGTCCTGGGGTCGCCCGGGGGCTCCTCTCTCAGGACCCTCCTAGGTGGGGGTCCTTGTAGCAGGCACTCACCACATCTCTGGCCTGCCGGCCCCTGGCTCACTCCTGCTCAGACTCCTCCCGTCACCCATGGGACATGGGAGCACCCAGAGGCCCGTGGGGAAGCCCCTCCCCCAACCTAGGCTCACCCGAGAGATGGAGAGGGGCACATTGAAGTCCTTGCCCCCTTGCAGCCGGAAGCCCCAAGGTGCTGGCCCCTCCAGCACTACCTTGAAGGAATCCATGGCGCTGGCTCCTGAGGGAGGAGGGAAGCGAAGGTTAGCGTCTGGCATGCTGGGCAGGCCCAGCGGCAGGACGTTAGCCCTGGACATGTGCCAAGCAGGCACCAGCGGATGGGAGCGCACCCAAGGCACAGGTAGACAGGTACCTTGTCAGACTGGCCTGGAGGACCTTACTTTGGAAAGACAGGAGCAGGATCCCTCCCCCAGGGACTGGGGCAGTGAGGGGTGCCCGCATCCAGGCTTGGGGCTCTCTTCATCCAGCGGTGGGCCGCGGCGCTAATTTGGCGTGGCCTCCCCCCAAGCCAGCCGGGAGCTTCGGGCGGCAGAGTGAGTCAGGGGCCGGCTCTCCTCTTCCCCGCCCCCAGGTCCCGGCAGGCAGGCCGCGGCTGGAGCCTGCTCGGACTATATAAGGCGTGTAAGCTGACACTGCGCGGAGAGCCAGCGGAGGGAGCACTCGGGGGCTTGGGACACGAGGGGGAGGGGAGGGGGAGGGAGGCAGCCGGAGCGGGCCCTCGCCATTCCCGGACCAGTCCAGGCTGCTGGGAGCCAGGGCGGGACCCCCGGTACTGGAGGAGGAGGGGCGGGAGAGGGTTGAAGCCCCCGAGGGAGGAGATCGGTGGGGGCCGGCACCCCAAAGCGTGGCCAGGAGGAGGATCCATCCTGGAGCCCAGCGGGGGTGGTGCCTCCCACACAGGACCGCTCCCACACCGCCGTGACTCAGTTTCCCCATGTCCTCCGCCCGGGCCCCATGCATTGGCCGGTCCCGGCCGCAGGAAGCGGCGCAGGCGCCAATCCGCCCAGCCGCAACGGGCTTCGCGGCAGGAAGGCGGGGGCGGAGGCAGGGCCCGGGCCCGCGGGAGGAAGCGCAGCGCGGCCCACGAGCCCCAGCGCCCTCTCTGGGCCTCCGCAGGCCCCGGGCCCCGCCTGGCCCAGCCCGAGACGCCCCGCACGGTCGCCAGTACCTGCTCGGCCCGCCGGGGCGCTGCTCGGCGGCGGGCTCCGGCGGCCCGAGGTGTGGCCCCGCCCCGCCGCCGCCCGCTTTGAGCCCACGGCAGGCCACGCCCCTCGTGGCCACGCCCGCGAGCCCCTCTCAGCCGGCGGGACGCCCCGCCCAATTCCTCCGCCCCGCCGCCGCCGTCCGCTTTGAGCCCACGGCGGGGGGCGGGGTCACAGGCCACGCCCGCGAGCCCCTCTCAGCCGGCGGGGACGCCCCGCCCAATTCCTCCGCCTGGTCGCCGCCGTCCGCTTGGAGCCCACGACGGGGGGCGGGACCACAGGCCACGCCCCTCGTGGCCACGCCCACCAGCCCTTCTCGGCCGGCGGGACGCCCCGCCCAATTCCTCCGCCCTGCCGCCGCCGTCCGCTTTGAGCCCACGGCGGGGGGCGGGGCCACAGACCACGCCCACGAGCCCCTCTCGGCCGGCGGGACGCCCCGCCCAATTCCTCCGCCCGGTCGCCGGCGGCTGCTCGCGGGGCGGGGCCTGCGCCGCGCACGCCCCGCGGAGACGCCGCCCGCGCGGTCCCGTGCGCCCCCTGCTGGCGAGTGCCGGGACGCGGCCTTCCCGCCCGCGCGCCTAGCGCCCCCTGCTGGCGAGTGCCGGCACGCGGCCTTCCCGCCCGCGCGCCTGGCGCCGGCCCCCTCGGAACCCCGTTTCCTCCTTGGAAGGCGAGACGGCGGTCCCGCCCCTCAGGGCCGCCGCGAGGCCCCGGGTTGCAGGCGCCGCCGCTGGCGGCTCCAGGACTCCTACATCCGGGGGGAGGGTTCGAGCGGGGAAGGTTGAGGGGAGGCAGGGGGCGCGCAGCGGCTCCCGCCTGGGATCTCGCCTACTCGGGAGGCAGAGGCGGAGGATCTCGAGCGCAGGAGTTCGAGACCGGCCTGGGCACCCTTGGGAGACGCTCCGTCCCCGCCCTCGCCCTGCCAAAGCTAGATTTGCAGAACGCGCTCCCGAAGCCGGGAAAAACACGGCCGGAGGAGAGGGAGCCGGAGGGGCCCTCAGCGGTGCCCGGAGCCCGGCCTGTGGGCCTGCGCGCCCTTGCATCTACCTCAGGGCAGAGCCGGCGCCCACCGCGCCCTGTGGGCCACGGGCTGTCCCTCCCCACTCCAGAGCGGGCGGCGTCTCCAGTGGGGCGTCTCCACCCTGCACTTGGTTGCTGCTCCTGTCCGCTCAGCTTCCCCAGGACAAGGCCAGAAGAGTGTCCTTAAAGACGCTTCTGACCCGCGTCCCTCTGCATTCAACACCCCTTGAGGGCAAAATTCCCCTGAGGAGTCGCCTGTCTGTCCGTCCGTCTCCACTTGGTTCCCTCTGGGCGTCCCCGCTTGTCCCCACCAGTCCTCTGGGATCTCTCTTTTCAAAGTTTCCAGGGCCCTCGGGTCACCAAGTGAATGGGGTCCTCGGCTTCCACCCTGCGGGAGCCGGCCCATCACTCCCTCTGCCTGGAGACACCGTTTCCCCCGGGCTCAGGGCTTCCTCCAGCCCCACCGGCCTCTACTCCTACCTTCCCACCCTCTCTGGCGGCTCCTCACCTGCCTTCCGCCCGCCTGCCCGGGCCACCTGACCTCTCCTCTGCCCACACTCGCTCCCCAAGGCCCCACGCTGTCCTGTGGGGTCGGCTTCCCTGACACCTTATGCCGGGGACTCCCGAGTATATGGCCAGCCCTGGCCTCCCCCCAAGAATTCCAGACCCCAACCCACAGCAGCCCGTCTGGATGTCCGCTGGAGACCTCCAACCCCTCACGTCCCAATTCACACGTGTGGTTTTCTTTTCTTTTTTTTTTTTTTTGACGAGTCTCGCTCTGTTGCCCCAGGCTAGAGTGAGTGCCGTGGCGTCAGCCTCGCTCACAGCAACCTCAAACTCCTGGGCTCAAGCGATCCTCCTGCCTCAGCCTCCCGAGTAGCTGGGACTACAGGCATGCACCACCATGCCCGGCTAATTTTTTTATATATATATTAGTTGGCCAATTAATTTCTTCCTATTTATAGTAGAGACGGGGTCTCGCTCTTGCTCGGGCTGGTTTCGAACTCCTGGACTCAAACAATCCGCCCGCCTCGGCCTCCCAGAGAGCTAGGATTACAGGCGTGAGACACCTCGCCCGGCCACACCGTGCGGTTTTCTCACCTCCCAACTTCCTCCTCACCTCGAGATGCCGCCGTCACCCTCCATCTGACTGTTTAGCGGGAACTATGACTGTTATCCTTCCCTTCTCTTCTCCCTGCCATCCCCCAGAGTCTGCAAATTCTGCCTTCACGATGTTTCACACCTAATCACTGCTGCCCACCGTTGTCCCCGCCACTGTCGTTTGTGCTGGGCCCTGTGCCAGCCTCCTCACCGTGCTCCCTGCTCTCTCCCTCGCCCTCTCCACGGCCTCTCTCCACACGGCAGCAGCCAAAGTGGCATTTTCAAAGCGAACTTGCACCGTGTCACCCTCAGCGTTAGGGTTCCAGTGGGTTGCTTGGGCGCTGGTGCGGTGGCTCTTCCCCCTCGTTCAGGTCTCTGCTCAGGGTGTGGCCTAATCCAAGGTGCTCGTCCCGGTCGTCTTCTCTGGGGCAAGTCCACTCGACGGCCCGGCCCCTGCTTATGGTTCCCTAAGCTTCCTCTATTTTTTTTTGTCTTGAGACAGGAGTCTCGCTTTGTTTTTGCGCTCAGGGCTAGAGGGTGCGAGGTGCCGTGCGGTCATCGCTCGCTTCACAGCGAACGCTCAGGACTCCTGCCAAGCGGATCCTCTGCCTCAACGCTCACCGAGTGCTTGGGATACACGGCGTGAATCCACCTATTGCCCCTATGTTTTGTTGCTACCTATGTATTAGTTGACCAATAATTTCTTCTATATATAGTAGGGAGTTTTGTCTCGCTCTGCTCAGGCTGGTTTCGCACTCTTGAACTCTTGGCCTCGAGCAGTCCGCCCGCCTCGGCCTCTAGGAGTGTAGGATGACGGGGTCGTGTGTCTTGTCCACTGACTCTCCCAGTGCCTGCACATAGCGATGTGAATGAACAAACGAAGGAAGGACTGAAAGAGTGAACGGCAATGGCAGAGAGAGAGGTAAGCGGCGCCTGGTGGCCCTCCAGCAGAGAGGAGGAGCCCAGGCCCCCTTCCTTGGGCAGCGCAAGACTCCGAGCGGACCCAGCCAGGAGCCTCCGGCACAGGCGTCCTGGGCAGGAACGGACCTTGGATTAGGACACGGTGCCCCCTGGTGGCCAGGACTCAGCGCAGCCTCCCGTGGTCTGGTTGGAACCACGCGGAAACCACTGGGAAACGGAACAGCTTAGATCTGTGATTGATAGGAAGGACGTCAGCGCAGGGTACCCAGAGTCCTGGGTTGCAGTTCTGGCCACGACCCTGAGTCTCTGGGTAATCCTCAGTGTGTCCTGGGATCTGCTGAGCTGGCAAGGGCTGGTGGTGTGGGCTTGCCGCCAGGAGGAGGAGTCCGCTGCAGCAGCCAGCCTCTTGCACATCGGGAAATGCCTGCTCGAGTGAAGCTAAAGCTGAAAGCCTGCCTGCCCGTGGCCGCACACACCCTAGAGGAGCACTGCGCGGGGAGCCCTCCTTCGTGCAACTTCCCTTCACACGTGGGATTTGGAGATGCCTTTCAGACATCCAGCTGTCTAGCGTGCGGCTAGATTCCTAACGGTGGGGCCCAGAGGAGAACTCTGTGCTGAAGCTACACCTCTGGGAGTCAGAGTCTCACTCTGTTGCCTGGACTAGAGTGCCGTTGGCATCAGCCTGGCTCACAGCAACCTCAAACTCCTGGGCTCAGGCGATCCTCCTGCCTCAGCCTCCCGAGTAGCTGGGACTACAGGCATGCACCACCATGCCCGGCTCATTTTTTCTATGTATATTAGTTGGCCAATTAATTTCTTTCTATTTGTAGTAGAGACGGGGGTCTCGCTCTTGCTCAGGCTGGTTTTGAACTCTTGACCTCGAGCGATCCTCCTGCTTCGGCCTCCCAGAGTGCTAGGGTTACAGGTGTGAGCCACCGCGCCCGGGAGTCAGCATTTAAATGGTGTATGGAAACCCAGAGGCTGTCTTACTTAGGGCAGCAGTTGTCAGCCTTGCATGCACACTTGGACTGAATGGAAACTGAACAAACAAACACTGACGTTCAGGCCCCACCCACCTAGACTGATGAGGTCAGACCCCTGGGCAAGGGCCATTTTTTTGTTGTTGTTGTTTTTTTTGTTTTTTATTATTATTATTTTTTTTATTTTGGCATATTATGGGGACAAGGGCCATTTTTAAAGGCTCCCAGGTGATTCCTTGTGTAGCCAGGGTTGAGTCACGCTGTGTCTGAGACTAGAACCCCAGGAGGAACTCCCACCAAGGGACAGGAAGGACCGGGAAGGAGAGATCTCGAGGTAGGAGGAAAACCAAGCACAGGCAGCGTCTCAGGGGGGCTGTCAGATGCTGCTGAGAAGGCGGGGGTCCAGGTCTCTTTTGTCTGGGGAAACAAGGAAGTTGGTGACTCTGATAAGGGCCCTGTAATGTTGTGGGTCAAAGGGGAGACTGGAGTGAGGGGAGAATAAGAGGCGAGAAAAGTGGAAATGAGAGTAATTGAGGACTCTTGAGTTTCGCTATGACAAGGAACAGAGAAATGGGGGGGTGGCTGATGGGAAGTGTGAGGTCAAGGGAAGGTTTGTTTTTTTCTTTTCCTACAGGTGTGTGCCACCACACTTGGCTCATTTTTAAAAATGTTTTTTTTTGTAGAGTCAGGGTCTCACTACGTTGCCCAGGCTGGTCTTGAACTCCTGGGCTCAAGAGATCCCCATGCCTCAGCCTCCTGAAGTGCTGGGATTACAGGTGTGAGCCACCACACGCTGGGAAGGTTTCTTTTAAAATGTGAAATCAGCCCGGGCGCGGTGGCTCACGCTTTTAATCCTAGCACTCTGGGATGCCGAGGCAGGAGGATCACTCAAGATCAGGAGTTCAAGACCAGCTTGAGCAAGAGTGAGACCCCCATCTCTACTGAAAATAGGAATTATCTGGATAATTATAAATATTTATAGAAAAAATTATCCGGGCACAGTGGAGCGTGCCTGTAGTCTCAGCTACTCGGGAGGCTGAGGCAGGAGGATCACTTGAGCCCAGGAGTTGGAGGTTGCTGTGAGCTATGATGATGCCACGGCACGCTAGCCGG